CATAGCAGCTTTCTCTGTAGGTGATAAAAAAAGGCAGTGCTTCCTTTTTATCAGACATATTTAATGCTTGATTTTTCACTGGAGATGTCTGAAAAAATTCTGTATAAAGTGAATTTGGACTTTATTCACAATCACTTTCCTGAAATGGACAAAATCACAGTCAACAGAAGATGTTTTTTAGAACTCATAAAAATAGGAGACAAATAAAGCAAATGACTCATCTTAGTCCTTATGCCTGGAGCATGAGATGTGCACTTGGCAATGCCTTATTTCATAAAGCCATCCCAGACAGATTCTGTGGTTTTCTGGGGGTTTATGCCTGTTGCTTTCTCCTTCATCATGTTAAAGGTAGAGGGAAGCCTGTCTGGGGTGCATCAGGACATGAAGCAGATGCCACAGAGTGAGGCAGGCTGCCTCCAACCTGACTGTAGCAGGCTTTTTTGTAATGCTTTTTGCCACCAGTTAGTTATTGCCACTACATTACAGTTCCAATGTAGTACCCAACGTCAATTGGGTAGTTCCTCAGCTGGCTGCCTGCAGCAGCCATCACCATGCCATTCAGATGCAATCTGTTGGGCTCTCGTGCCCTCCAGCATGGAGTGCACAGAGTACTTAAATATATGTCAAATTCTTAAAATTTCATGAAAGCCAGCACTGCTTTCAATGGCTAAAAGGGTGCTCTCCATATTCCTAAGGTTATTTTGCAAAGCACATTAATGCACCTGACCCAGACATCAAGGCCAACATATTTTTAAAAAGTACTAGTTTATATGGCAAAAAACATGTGAGCAATAATCTCATTGCACGTCACTAGCCAGTTCCTGGTCAGTTAAAATTACTACGTAAAGTCAAAGATTTCAAAAGCATGACCAGGTGAACTGCAAGTGGGAGTGAGAAATATGGTCAATAATGTGAGCACTCCTGAAGGAGGAGATATTGAAATACTTTCTTTGCTTCTCTTGGCCAAAGCTGTTATGAATGGAACGGGGCACAGAAGAGAAACAAGAAGGATATTTGAAAAAATGCCCGTCTGTCAGAATTTGAAATATTTGACATGTTTAGTTTCCCAGAGTTTGAATCAAGACACAATTTAAACAATGATTTTCAAGAGACTTCACATAAAGAAAATTTCTGTTAGTCTAAAGCACTTTATTTCAGTGTATGACCCCTCTACAAAAGACAAAAACCCAAGCACCTAACCCAACACAGGAAACCATTGTTGAAAGCTGAAGCCAGGCAAATGAAAACGGGACATAAGGCTATTGGCTTTATCATGGAAGGCAGTCAACCACAGGACACGCTACCAGATAAACTGAGGGATCCTCCATTACCTGAACTTCTGAATCACCCCGCCAAATATCTTGGAGGATAACTTTGGCCAACCCAAGTTACTTGGCTTAAAAAGGAGTATCTGGGTAATATTAGCCAGCTAACTGAATGACCTCTTCTGGAGAGATACAACGTACCTATTTTTAGATGTAGAGTGAGAAATCTAAGTAGTAGCCAGCTACCCTGGGCTCATTTTATAGTAAGTATAGAGAAAAAGGTGATCCAGCTTACCTACCTTAGATGCCCAGCTGAACACAGGATAAATCATCTTCAACTAGTGCCTATTTCTCTGTGATGACTATGGAAGGCACTTAAAAAGAGTCTTTAGCTCAGACACCCAGCTTTTAGAAACCAAAACCAGGGCAGAGGAATTTCACCTGACTTTATCAAACACATAGCTGAAATCAACTCTGCAGGGGAAAATTTAAGTCAATGCTTGGCATACATTTAGATTTTTGTTATGGTTAGCAACTGAAGAGTAATCTGTCACTGTATCCCTCAGGTATCAGCAGCAGGTAATGCTGATAAAAATCACCCAGAATGAATGGTGCTGCCCTGGCAGATCCAAGGAAAGTAAAGTACAACGAACCTCAGTACAAGAGTGAATTGTATTACCAATCTTGATCAGTAACGTTACATCATGTGTTACTGGCTTTACAGTGGGGACAGAAAAACAGCTTTCCTGCTCTGAAGACTTTACAACTCAGTTTGGACCCTGATGCAACTAAATGGAGAAAGGCAGTAAAGGAACAAAGAAAGGGAGGACCGCTATGTGACAAGACTGTGGATACACTTGTCTTGCTGCCTCTACCTCCTCTCCTGATGCTGCCAGGACTGAATGAGAACTAGGTTCAGGGATGGCAGAAGGCCAAATGATGCTTTCTTGCGTTGCCCTTTTGACTTTTAGAGTCACCACAGCACAGAACAGGAGTGTTTAACTCCATGCACCCGTGCAAAATGCAATGAAAGACAAAGCCATGAGAAGCTACCTTGTTTCTGGGTGTCATAAAGATGCCAAACATTGATCAAGTACTAGATTTGCACACTGTTTTGCAGCTTTTACATACATTTTAATATGATGTGTATCTGTGCATTAAAAGGTAGCTGAAAGTCAAACAGGTGATGATGGGGTCAATGCTGAAATTTTGCATAACATTATTTGGAAATCAGAATTTTCTGGGAGTAAAAACAAGTGAGCACAGTGCCCTCTGGACCTTTAGTGACACGAAAATGCTTGCACAAAGCATTATGAAGTTAAACTGTCTCAGAGAAAACATATTTTCCGTATTTAGATTCTATGATTTTCAATAAAGGGATGAGGCTCTACAAAGTACTGCACTTTTCACTGCTTTGAAAGAAAAATACACGCAGCATCTCTCTCCCTTGTGTGCCATTCTTCGCATGCCCACACAGTCCTTTACAAACTTAATGATACCACCTATGTTCTCCCACTGGTGCAGCTTCGTTGTCTCACACGGCGCTACTCTCCACATGAAATGTAGAATCAAGTCCAAGTGCGTCTGCGTCCTGTTAAAGGAAACTATGCTGTTTTGTTGCAATATAAAATGTATTTTCTTATTTAAACTTTTCTGGTTTATAATCCAGAAATCATTAAAATGCAGATTTTCTCCAACTCACCTAATTAGAAGATTGTTTTTTCTAGGATACAATGAATTATAAACATGTATAATTGGTGATGCATCATGCAGAACAGATTCATGGAACTGAATGCTTGAAATCTCTATTTCTATGCTGTCATTCTGTCTGTGTGTCAACTCACTCAGAGAACCTCCTTTGAACATGGAGGTGAGTACGCCTGAATGCTTGTCAAGTCTCACTTTCTACCCTAGAAATCTGGGGAAAAAAGTACATCCTATATGTCCCGTTTCAGGGAGCTGAGCAGTCCCAATCCCACTTCAGACAAAGAAGCCTAAAGTGCATAGATGTGTTTAAGTTAGGTATGGGAGCCCCCAAAGCTTCAATGTGTCTTCATATATTTGCAGTTAAGAGTTTGTTGATAAAGCTGTTCAGAGATCCAGGAAAAACACTAGTTTAGCAGTGGTTTCTGAGTCTAAAGCCTTTGGGACTATATTTAGTTTAAATACCTGTGTAGGGGTGTATCTTTAGATGACATGGGACTGTCATTGGGCAGCCTGCTCCACTCCAGAGTCTCATAGTTCACCAAGTGACAGCAGAAAACACTCTGAATGACTGGAGGTGATCAATAGTCTCTTTAAAGTCAAATTCAACAAAGTAACAATTCATGAAGTCATTATTGTTTAACTCAAATTATACCTACTGTGTAAAGGTTGGTGTCACATAACTTTCACAGAGTTACCTGTTCATGGAACCATGAGGCCTTTTCTATCTTTGGTCTGACATAACTTTGTATGACTCCAGGGTAATCCCATTAAAATAAATTGTATTTGACTGATAAACAGATAAATTAAATCAGACCAAGAGGTTTATGGACACTTTGACAGCTGCCAACAATATTCCCAGTACTGGTAATATTTTCAAGAGTGTATATGTATGCCTGCCAAGACATGTCCTTGCTGCTCTTCTTTCCTTTCCCTGGCAATATTACAGACCTTGGATTCTGCTAGCTCCATACAATCTGTTATTTGAAACATCAAGACAATTGATTTTATGGGTCAGAAGTACTCATGCAAATATATATTATTCCCACTTGCTATTTAGAGTGGCCATGGTTAAACGTGACATGAGAAGTAAACATCACTGAGTTTATTTCTTTTAAAGAGTGCAAATGTTCTGTGTATGTTTATAAGAATCGGTCAGTTCTATGTTTTTTTTTTTTTACAAAGTGGCTACATAAGAGGCTTGGCGTTGTTGAGAATTCCTTCTATTTATGCCTTTTATGGTAATTTTGAGGGATTCTGTATAATTTTTTTTGCTGGAGTCATGGTCAGGACTAAATTTTAATCAGCTCAGACTGAGAATAGAATTAAGCTAAAAGAATGTACATTATTCCTTAAATGGCAGTTGTAAATTTATTGCAATATTCCTGGTTTTAGCTGCCAAGTGTGTAGTTCTACAGACATATTTCAATGAAAATATTATATAAAAATGGTATTTTCAATGGGTAATATGCTATCTAAGGCTGTTTATCATATGCCAGACTGCTCTAGCAACAAAGCACCTCTTCAGAAAATTGTTTAATAAAAGATCAACACAAATCTCTTTGATTTTAAACAGAAGAGAACAACTGGTGATTGCTATAGCACTACTAGAAAATGCTGATGTTTTAATCAAAACTCTTACAGTAGCCTTTTCTGTATGGACTGCAAAGGTAGCCCTACTTTCTGCACCTAAATATAAAACCAGGCACTTTTGAAAGGAACAACAGGATTGGAATCAAACTCTATAGAAAGTAATTTCTGAAATTTATACAATTAGTTGAGAAGTACTACATTTTTTCCCTCTGTATAAATAATATTGATTTCCTGGATTAGCACACTAAACTCCCAGTGCAGTTAATTATAGTCTTACATTTCTTTATTTTTATTTTGTTTTCCATAATTAGGAAAGACTTTCCTAATCCTTAAAGAAAGAAAAGTTTCCTTAAGTATAAATGAAGTGTAAGAAATTTTCTTGCTTCCCATCTTAACCTTTTCAACATGTATCAAATCAGTCTGCATTGAACAGAATACCATACATCTTGTAGACATGTTGGAGGGTAAAGGGACCATTATAGTAAATGAGTTTTTTAATAGTTACAGCTAGTAAACAGCAAGAGAACATCAGAATTAATATGAATACCATTTAAAAAAACCAGAAAGCATCCATGGGGCAGGTGTGTGTGTTATTAACTGGTTGGCTGCACAAACCAATTTCCCAAATACCACCATGTAGAAAAGGAAAGCACTAAACTGTACATTTTATAAAATCTCACATCAAGCTGCATAATGAATGATATATCCCACAGTTTTTCATGTTTTGGGGGACCTATCTGATTTATATCATAGTGGTCTCTGTCTGCATAAATGACTGAGCCCTTGAATTCCGGTGGAGCTGAGAAACGCTTTCTGATCCATTTCGAGAAATTGAAGAGCTGTGGAGTCTGTAATCTCTGCCTGCTGTCTGCTTCCAGCACAAACTCCGCCATTTTCTTTTCAGCTCCCCTTGCACCTGTGTTAAAAAGAAAATGCATGAGATGAGCTGAAAATGTTCTTTTACATGAGGAACATTTCCACGTGTATTGGCTATCAAATGGCGACCTCTAGGAATAGAATCATAAAACGGTTTGGGTTGGTAGGGACTTTTAAAGATCATCTAGTCCAACCCGCTGTGGGCAGGGACACTTTTCACTAGACCAGGTTGCTCAAAGTCCCATCCAACTTGATCTTCTAGTGATGGAGCATCCACAACTTCACTGGCCAACCTGTTCCACTGTCTCCACCACCCTCGTAGAAAAAATTTCTTCCTTACATGCAATCTAAATTTAGACTCTTTCAGTTTAAAACTGTTACTCTTTGTCCTGTCACTACAGGCCCTGCTAAAACACTTTCTCCGTCTTCCTTCTAATCACCTCTTTTTATACTGAAAGACACCAATAAGGTCTCCCCAAAGACTTCCCTTCTCCAGGCTGAAGAACCCCAACTCTCTCAGCCTGTCTTCATAGGAGAGATGTTCCAGCCTCCTGATAATTTTTGTGGCCCTCCTTTGGACTCGCTGTACTGAGGACAATGCACATTGCCAGCTCAGGTCCAATTTTTCATCCCTCAGTATCCCCAAGTCTTTCTCTGCTGGATTGCTCCCAAATCATTCATCCCCCAGTCTGTATTGATAATGGGGATTGCCCCAACCCAGGTGCAGGACCTTGCACTTGGCCTTGTTAAGCCTCATGAGGTTCACATGGCCCTACTCCACAAGCCTGTCCAGGTCCCTCTGAATGGTATTCCTTGCTTGTAGAGTATCAAATCAGTTTTTACGAAGATTACAAAACTGAGATGAAGACCATGTCTACACTGTCTGTAAGGAGATGCCCCAAGGCCACTAGTTTTGTATCACTTATGCTGCAACATCAGCTTTTGCTATCTAGCTATTAATCACATGTACTTAAAGCACAGAATCAAATTATTAGCCCAAAATCAGGCATCTCATGAATATCAAAGATGAGAATACTGGTTGTTTAGCCTGGAGAAGAGGAGGCTGAGGGGAGACTTATTGGTCTCTACAACTACCTGAAAGGAGTTTGTAGCCAGGTGGGGGTCGGTCTCTTCTCCCAAGTAACAAGTGATAGGACAAGAGGAAATGGCCTCAACTTGCTCCAGGGGAGGTTTAGATTGGATATTAGGAAGAATTTCTTCACCGAAAGGGTTGTCAAGCACTGGAAC